TATGCGATCGACCCCTGGAGCCTTGTTGTATGTCATGCTTCGGATAGCTGCTTCAATCTCCGGCAGTGATGGGGTTTTGGAATTGACGCGAGTAATGCGCCACACCCTAGGCGGAACATGCTAAGATGTTGATGGCTGGTTGGTCGTCGAAACTTGAAGAAGTTGTTCGAAGTGCTCAAACAAGTGTTTCAGCTGGTCAGTGGGGTCGGTAAGCAATTGTCCAGTCGTGTCCTTCACTGGCATCCTCGGGTTCATCCTTGCTCCACTCAGGCGTCGTGAGATATCGTAGAGGAGGCGTATATCGCCAGTGTTTGCGGCTTTCTCCCCTTTAAGGAGTTCACCCACGCTCGCTTGTCCCGTCTGCAAGAGCGCTTGACTTCCTTCTCTAGAGCCGAGTACCGTTGACGGGCTTCGTTCTTGGCTCCTCTGGTTCTCGCCCGCTCTATCGCGGCTTTTGCTTCTCTACGCTCCTCAATCTTCCGCCAGGTTTCATCTGTGATCCACTCTTTCCTCTGGGTGCGCAGCTCACCCAAGTTGTTCTCGCTTGTTTGTATAAAGACATTCTTGATGGCCGTCCATTTTTCTTCTACGCTGCCACCTTCTGGAACGTCCAAACGTTCTTCAACAAAAACCTTTTTACCGCTAGATCTTCAAGTCGGCGTGTGTTGAACCGCCGCCCGAGTCTCTCCTCCCGTCGCTGGATCCGCGCCATGCGTAGGCGGAGTTCACCGATTAGAAGGTGATGGTCAGACGCGATGTCGGCGCTGCGTTTATTCCGGACATCAAGAAGGCTCCGTCTCCATTTTCGGCTGATGCAGATGTGGTCGATCTGATTTTCGGTATGTCCATCACGGGAAACCCACGTGACTTTGTGCACTGGCCGATGGGGGAAGAGCGAGCCCCCGATCACCATGTCGTTATTGCCACAAAATTCTGCAAACAGCTCACCGTTCTCGCTCATTTCGCCGAGACCATGACGTCCCATGACACGCTCATAATCCGTGTTGTCGGAGCCGATCTTCGCATTGAAGTCGCCAGTGAAGATCTTGATGTCACCCTTTGGAACCTTATCCACGACGGCATTCTCCTTGACCTGTAGCTCGGCAGCATCGGTTGGCGCATAACATTGGATTATGGTAAGGTTACGAACCCGTGTTCTAAATCTGGCAACGATTATCCTCTCATTAACAGGCTCCCACTTAATGAGCGCAGCACTTGCCTGGACGCGAAGTAGGAGACCAACTCCACGATGGCGGGGAGCGTTTTCACCTCGAATACCAGAGTATAGTAGTACCTGTCCCGACGGCAGTTTGTGTTCTCCAAAGTTTGGCCAACGAACTTCACTCAGTCCCAGGAATTCTAGCTTCATGCGTCGTGCCCCGTTGGCGAGTTGTGCCAGTTTACCCTGCTGGGCTAACGTCAATACATTCCATGATCCAATTCGTGTCCGTTGTTTTGCGCTAAAAGTCGTTGCCGTTGAATCAGTTCGATGTCTTTCTCTGTTGGTTTCTGTAACAATTGTAAAGGTTTCAGAGACAGTAGGTGGTTGGCCTAAGGTCTACTATCCGCCGCCCCTCTTAGGTGTAGCTTACGGGGAAGAGCATTTCTTATTCAGCCGCTGGATGCCAGTCAGACGCTGTTTGAGCCGCACCTCCATGGTGAACAGACGCCCGGGTTGGCGAAGCATTTCCTCTATCACCGTGCTATGGTTACCGCGCCAGTGTTCGCGTCGCACCTCCTCACTCTGCTATTGTCGGATTGACAACATTGCCCAAGCTACGCCAACCAGCTGTGTCCATGTTTCAGCTGGCAGTCTTTTGTGATCATATGACTCGTGGAGGCGTGAGGTAGGAACTTGTGAGGACCGGAGCTAGGTATATCGCTACTTCCAGATTGTCACTCACCATTTTGTAGCCCACAGTTTGGTGAGATTTGCAGCTGGCGAGTTTTGTTAGCTTGATATTCCGACGTGCAATATCACAACTTGCAATAACAACAGCAGTTGATTGCTCGTTGATTTTTGTCAACGAAAATCAAGCGTGATCTTGTTCTTTGGTAAGATTTGATTTTTTTGATATTTTCATAACGATGCTGAAGCTATTCAACTGTATATCAATTCAAATTATATCTTCCAGATATTTTCTCAAGATACCAGGTTGCTCAGAAATTATTCCAAAGCCCTTCAAGTGAACAGAGATTAAAAAAAAATCCATACGATTTTTGTTTTAGACTTCATTCTGAAGATCCTCAGCTTCCCAAAAATTCAGATCACATCTCTTAGCTATTCTTTTCAATAGTAGGTTGCTCAAAAATTATTTCAAATTATTTTATCGGGATAATCGAGCCCAAGATAATTGAACGCTAGGATAATCAGACCCCCAGATAATCAAGTTCAACCTAATTTTTTCAAATATTTTTGAGTATTTTTATTTTAAGAATTAAATACTCAAATATGTCAATGTACACTTTTTTTTGAGAATATTATTCAAAATGCAAAATTTGCAAATGAATATTGAAAACAAAGGACACTTAAAAGCTAACAAAAACCTTGGAACAGGAACTTCTAGTCAAATGTTTGATAGTTTTGGTTTGTTGGCGATGATTTAAAATGAATTAAAATAGATTGCTTTGAACAATGAAAAATCATGCTTCCTAATTTGAAATGAAAATTGTAAATCCTAAGATATTTTCTGAGAATTGAGACAGGAAAGATTAATTTGACAAATAATTTTCTTTAAAATTTTAGGAATTTCTTATAAGATTTAAAAACACTTTGATCTCGACAAGCTTAATTATCCTATTAACTTATTTCCCATGGATATTCCAATCTGTATAGGAGAAATGGCTCTAATGTTGGCTTATTGATCTTAATGTTGGGCACATTTCCTGTTTTTCAATTTCTCTTAGAACAATGCGTAATCTGGACAAAACAGAAGGATTTTTTTGTTCGCTGGTGAAATATTATCACAAAATTTTTGCTTTTGAAATACCAGCAATATTAAGGGGAAGTTTACCACTCTGAAAAAAAAATACGTTTCGATTTTTCTTAAAACTTTGGAAAAAGATATCAAAAATCTAAAAAGATCACATTTTGTCTTATATTCTATAAGACATTCGTGTGTTAAAAAATGTTTTGTATGTCATCATGGCATAGAGTTGGACTCAAAAAACCAAAAAAAAATCGTTTATTTCGATTTTGCAAAAATATCTTTACATGTATTTTTTTTTTTTTTGTAATAATCTAAGGAAGAAACTGATTTTTTTGATTTTTTGATACCGTGCCGATTCAAATTTCGGACACTTAAACTCGAATTTCGGACACTTTTAAAAGTTGATTATCTCGGTCGAATATGATCCACATGTCTTGTAAATTTTAAATTTTTTTGACTAGTGCCCTCCACGATCATCTAACATTATTACTTTGTTTCTAACTGGATGTAATATTTAATTAAAAATGAAAGTGTCCGAAATTTGAATCGTCCGAAATTTGAGTCGCAACGGTAATTAATCCCAATATTTTATAAAAAATAAAAATGCACCAAAATTTTATTTTTATTATTGGGCCTGTAACCTTCCCCGGCTGACATTAGGGTCATTAACCCTAGGTATCAAATATTTTTATTAAATTCCCCATCGTTAAGCATATGCTGTTGTTGTTGTTATTATTATTATTAGTTGGTTATTTTATTGTTCAATTTTACCAAATATTAAAATTCGGCACGGTGTCTTTGGAAGAAAAACTTTATTAAAAAAAAATCAGTATCGCTGATACACTCATCAAACGAAAGCTTAGGGTCATCTCTTTCATATGAGACTAGTATGGAAATGTTCTATAGGGGGTCTAGAACAAGTTTTATTATTTTCTTTCTTTTTTTTAGTGTAAATCACGTCCAAAAATTATCATTTGGAAACTACCCGAGTAGCACACTTTCATCACAATAAGTTACAGTAACTTGTTTATGACTGAAATAAGTCGTATTTAAGTTTCGACAAATGATTTGTGACAAGCGTGCTACTAGGGTAGCCTCAAACGCAAGAGGGATTTCATTTGGTGGGTGTTTCAGCGATACTGATGTTTTTTTTAAATATCTATGTTATCCTACCAAAGACACCGTGCCGCAAAACACTTAACACGTCCAATAGAGTGATGCAAAATTTAAAATTTTCGCTCCACAATACTTAAACGATTTCAAATTGGATCCTGACTAACCTCTCAAAATTTGAACCCATTTGGTGAGAAACTGAGATTGCACAAACCATTTAAAGTTTGTATGGGAATTACTATGGTAAAACCAAGATTTTCGTTCATGTCTATCTAATAATTCACCATATCGGTCTGCTTCAAAAGTTTTCATATATACTAGTAGGAAATTTTTCCAGCTACAACTTTGCTGAAGACCACTTTTTGATTAAATGCAAGGATCGAAAGCTATCAATGGTTCAATGTGCTGATGTCTTATAATCATGCTCAATCAACTGCTCAGCAGGCAACATTGGTGTTTCTGGGGCGTTGAATAGAACACAAAAATCACGGCTACTATGTCTCACTGCAAAATACAGTGTTGCCTTCAGAGCAGCTGCTTGATCATGTCATAAGTTTACCAATCTCTTAAATAATTAATAACTTTTTCCTGTCTCGTTTAACATAGAAACAATCTTCAGCAAAGTTGTAGCTGAGAAAATTTTCTATAAGAATGGCTATCGAACTGTTTCGCAGCTCAATATGGAAAAAGACTAGAAGGCAATGAACAAAACGTTGAGATTTCCCATATTAATTTACATGTAAACTTCAAATGGCTTGTGCGAAGTCTGTTTCTAACCAAATGAGTTGTAACTTTGGGAGGCTAATCAGGACCCGATTTGAAACCATTTAAGCACTGTGGAGCGAAAAAGACAAATTTTGCATCAGTCTAACGTCCAATCAATTGAATTAGAGTTAGCAAATCATATCGGAGGTTCCATGACTAAAAAAGGTGAAATTTTCTTTTACTTTCCACCAGCTCCGCCGGACATCACAGTGGAGAAAACCTGGGTGCACGCGAGCGAAGGCTTCGACATCGATCTGATGTGCACGGTGCACGGCGATGTGAACTCCGAGGTAAGTGTGTTGTTGAGTTTTAAACATCTTGAAAGTGTATTCTGAACCATCATCAAATTGCAACTCAATTAGTTCGACTTATTACTGCACTCTGCGCAAACTTTGTCATCATATTTTGCAGCAATTGCGTCGTCAACGCTGCTCCAACGGTAGATATATGGTGTGATGTTGAAACCTTTCATCTTGTTGATATCAACCTGGCTTGAAGTTGAAACTGCTACCACTGAACCTCAATTTTCGCTAAAAATAAGGTTAACAAAATAGTTTGAGCTTTAGGGCAAATGTATTTATGTGTGTATGTGTGTGTGTGTGTGTGCGTGTGTGGTAAAAAGTTGTTTCCTTTCGCAGCACGACAGGTGAATGAATGGATCCCACTTTGGAGTAGGTGAAAAAGTTATGTTTGGCAGTTACGGGTTTGAATAGAGGTTCAGGTGACGACGACGCTCGGGAGAGACTATAACGATGTCTTGGAAAACTTTGTCTTTCCATTGCGGTGCAGTGTCTACGTATCATGAGCTGAAAATATTTCCCATTTTGGTTGATGCGACAGTAGTGGGAATACCCGAATGATGTGCCACTTCGTCTAATGCTTGGAGGAATAAGGTAAACAGGAAATTCTTTCATCGTGGAACAAGTTTTCGCTGAAGAAGAAAGCTTCATTTAAAAGCTGCTGAGTGATGCTCATTTCTCTTCCAGTACGCTAACCTGAACGTTTCGATTGAATTTGATGATATTGGTAAGGAATTTCAGGGGCTTAAGTCAATTTAGGTTCATGAACATCCCATCCCACGAATTATAACGGAAAAAAACCAACGAGCCAAAATGTGAAGGATACTTTTTCCAAAACGCTGGAATAAGAACTTCCTCACTCGGTGTTAGTCTGTGTCATACATTAATTAAAAACTTTGTCCCAGTGCTGAAAGAGTGGGTGCAGGTTCGGCGGAAACTGAAGTTTTCCGAGCAGCAACAATTTATTTAACTCGATGCGTTGCGTTAAGCTGGAAGCCGAGCTGCAGCGGAAGAGTTTGTTTTAAGGTACCGATGCGTGTGCTTTCAACTTTCAATCTGATGACTCTCCAACTTGTGCATAAATTTTTTCCGACGCTCTGTGTGACGAGCGCAAAAATTAACTTGATTCTGGAATTTTGCGTTGCGGAAAGTGGATGGAATGGTTGCAGCACTGCATTAAAAAGCTTGCACGGTCGGATGGTTGACTGGTTGGATGATGGTGGCATTAATTATGCACAGGTCAAAGGTTAACAAAAGAAAATGGACAGGCCGTGGAAAAGAGCGGACAGTACCTACTTAAATGGCATTTCTCTGAATGCATAAAGTGCCTAGAAGAATGAAAAAAAAAAGATATGCAAAGTGAGGACGGACGAAGAACTGTGCGGAGTTTTAAATTAAAATATAATTTGATTGTCATTTAATCCCATCCATTGTGGGAAATTCGTGAACCGTGCAAGAAGGAACTACCGCCTCTGCATGCAATCATACGCGGTTGAATCCAAAGGAAAGCGTGGAGGAAAAGGAGTTGAGTTCAAATCTGCTTGAGACTTTTTTTTCCTTTATGCCAGGAAACGCACCGCGGAAGTTGATGAGCAATGTGAGAGTGGAAAAATGTACACTGAAGTAGTTTTTTTTTTTTCATGCGAGCATTCGTAGTTATCGAAGCTTTTTCTTATGTTAATTAAAACTTGGGGTTTTTGCATTGCTGATTTATGTGTTCATCTCCTTTAGTTGTTTTATGAATTAGATCGTCATTCTTCAGTCATAAAGTGTGTAAAGTTTTTAGCACTGTTTGTGATAATTTAATACATTTTCTTATAGTTGGAGCTGTTTAACGACAAATATCAAACTTAAATAAAGGGTAATAGATGAGGAGATGAAAGTATAGAGTTGATAGTTCCGTTAAAGTACAGCAATGTGAAAATTGTATATAGAGAGTAGAAAGCGAGCAAAGGTCAATTTTGAGGAAACCACGAATCAGGTTAATCATCTCCTTTATCAAACTCTAAACCTTCGAAAAAATAATCGAGAATTGATATTTTAGTAAATTGAAAAAATATCATATCTCTAAACTTAGTATGTTATGTAGAACAATATAGGACGAAAAAATGCCGTCAAAATACAGGTTTATGTTTGCTCTCGTCAGATGGCAGGAACCAATGTCTTGTAGATGATGGCAAATCATGAAACAAAAAAAAAACAATAGGTAGCACATTCATTTTCCTAGTTAATTATTGGACAGATGCTCACCAATTGCACTATTGTTCGATTAAATATCGTTGATTATTATTAAGTTGGCGTTGCAGAGTGGTGGCAGAACTGTTGAAGTCAAATCTGCTGGTGATTTCGTTAAGCCGAAGTGTCATGAATCTGATTGGATCATATTGTCCATAACGAGTGTGACGGTTAGCTAAATGCAAGAAATTGCGTCGTCTCAAAGGTCGTTCTGGAACATATATATTCAATTCAGCGAGAATATGTGGGGCGTCAATATCGTTGGTCAACACCTTAGCCACGAGTACAGCTTGCATAGTCGATCTATGGGTATCAATTCCCAGCAGCATACAGCGATGTTCACATGGAGGAAGATTCAGTGCGTCGTTCCAGGGTAAGTGTCTAAGCGCACAAGCAGGCTAAGCGCACAAACTTTTTCTGTACAGCCTTGAAGCGATCAATCCAGTTTCAGCCAAGATTCCTGGAGAGTCGATGTCACCAATAAGTACTTTCGCTGCGAACACGGCCTGACTAATCGTCCGCCTATGTTCTAGTGTTTCAAGACCCAGGAGTTGACAACGATCTTCGTACGGCGGAAGGTTCACAGGGTCATTCCAAGGAAGGTGACGAAAGGCATACCGAACAAATTTCCTTTGAACAGATTCAATCCTCGCTATCCAAACTGCTTGATACGGGCACCATACTACCGAGTTGAATTCCAAGATCGATCGCACTAGAGAGCAGTATAGAGTTTTTAGACAGGCAGGATCGCGAAACTCGTCAGCGATCTTGAAAATGAACCCGAGTTGCCTGTTAGCTTTCGCAACGATGCCCGAGTAATGAAGCTTGAATGTTAAGGCGCAGCGTGATTCCTAGGTCACGAACATTGTCCACACGTTGCAAAAGTTAGTGATTTATCGTATAGTTGAATGCCACTGGTTTCAGCTTGCGATGAAATGAGATAATATTACATTTTTGTACATTCAACGTGCGATAGTTTCTTGAGCACCACTCTTCGAAAGTATCGATTAGGTGCTGAAACCGCAAGCAATCGGCGAAGCTACGAACAATCACATAGATCTTCACATCATCCGCGTAGAACGATCGGCAACCAGTTGGGAGGATCAATCCGGCCTCATTCACAAAAATCGAGAATAGCAATGGTCCCAAGTTGCTACCTTGAGGAACACCAGAGCTGTTTGTAAAATATTCCGATTGCTCTGATCCGATTCTAACACAAAGTTGCCGATTGGTCAGATAGGACTTGAACCAACGAGTTAAACCCGGGGATACACCGAGTTTTTCAAGTTTAGCTAGCAGTATGGAGTGGTCAACCCGGTCGAATGCAGCCTTAAGATCTGTATATACAACGTTCCATACTCCAAAGAAATGAACGGAGCTAGATTTGTTGAAACTGATCTCTTGGGATAAAAACCGTGTTGGTCAGGAGAAATGTAATTTCTGCAGCTAGAGAATAATGCATCGTTGATGATGATTTCGAAGACTTTAGAGCAGGCACTGAGTGATGTGATCTCTCGGTAATTTTCGACGTTTCTCTTGTCTCCTTTCTTGTAGATCTGGAACATGAATGACGATTTCCAACGCGTAGGGAACTCCCCCTGCTGTAATGAAATATTGAACAGCTTCGAAAACGGTGTTGTAAGCTTTGAACAGCATCGCTTCAGGATGCTTAAGGGGATCCCGTCAGGGCCAGCAGCATTAGAAAATTTCAGCTTCTTGATGGCGGATTCGACGAGGTCTACTGTAACCGAGGTAATCGGAAAATTGAAAGCATCACTGGGAGTGTCCCTCACCGCTTCAGCAACTTGGGACAACGAAGCCGTAGTGTCATTGAAAATGCTTTTGAAATGTTCTGCCAGAAAATTGCATTTGCTGCCGATTCTATCACCCACGTGAATTTCGGCTGGTAGCCCCTCCTCGTTTCGTTTGGTATTCACGAATGACCAGAACTGCTTTGGATTAAGCCGTAAATTAGCCTGCACACGTCGTGTGTAGCTCCTGTAAAGAATGCGGTTATATGTGCGATATTAGTTGCTCGCTGTTGAAAATAATCGTTTGGTGAATGGGTTAAGAGTACTACAGTATTTACGGAGGAACTTCGATGTCAGACGCTTCAAATTCCGTAGTTGAGCATTGGACCATGCGAGTTTGGGAGAGGGTCTCCTAAATGGGACAGAATCAGTTATTGCCCGGTCAACGACCTCAGCGAAGTAGTTGACGGCTTCATCAATAGATGAACACGTGTCAAGGAACTGCCAATCTACCTGGGCAAGCGAGTGACTCAGCGCGACGAAATCTGCTCTATGAAAGTCGAGCTCATGTACATCAACAGGGGGGCTATCGTAGCGAACAGGAACAGATATGTTGATGGAAACTTCCAACGCAGGATGATTGGTGTTGATGCCAATCAAAGGCTCTGGGGCTAGAACATTCCAGTCCTGCAGCTTCGTTCGCCAGAACGAGATCAAGCAGCCGAGAAGCAACTCTCGTGCCGTGTTCTCTCGACTAGAACAAAACGACCTAGCTCTGATATTTGGTGACTACAATCAGTCTGGGCTCTCATGGAACGTTCCTGCAAACGATCTTCCTAGCATTGAAATTCTTCGCTCGAACATGCCCGCATCCTGCTGTGCTCTCCTTGGTGGTTTCAACCTGCATGGCTGAACGCAAATCAGCTCGATACTGAATAGCAACATTCAGTATCGAGCTGATTTGCGTTCAGCCATGCAGGTTGAAACCACCAAGGAGAGCATAGC